GATGGAGAAAGCAAGTGTTCTACTCTAGGTACATTGCTTATCACCTTTCTTCTCCGGTTCGTGTTTGTGTTCTGTGATCCATTATAGATTATTATTAATAGATAACCCATTTCCCAATTAAGATAGATTTATTAATACTTCAATGGAAGATTTTAAGAAATCAAAACAAATCTCATCAGTACAATTTTGCTCCTCTTTTCTGGGATGTCTAAATGCTAAGAATAGCAGAACCTTTAGCAGAGAGAGAGCCCAAGAGATAAATTTATCAAGGGAAGCAGTATCCTACAAAAGGAATTCAGGCATTCAGATGAATCATGGAGATTTTAACTTTTGTGTCAAATGTAGAATTCATTACAAGCAAACCCAACATCAGCCATTATATCCAACAGTGCATATGCTTAGAGATAATCTTTCCATCTTCATTGGGTGGGTGTTGGAAGAAGAAGAAAAAGAAGAAGAAGAAGAAGAAGAGAAGAAGGCTCCGGAGTCTCTCTATGCTTAGCTTCAGACGTGCAGCCTAAGCATGCTTTAGAAGCTTAAGATAGAAGTTTTTTCCTTTGCACTTTCTCAATGGTCCAAAATTGTCTATTGTCCTTATCTTTTATACCTTCCGACACCCAACAGCCACACCAACTTTGGAATCTGATTGGAGTAAACCTTATAAAACCCACCACTTAACACCATTAGATTTGCCTTCAATAGCTTTTCCAAGAAACAAAAGGAAAGTAAGGCCTCTAACTAAAGTTACTCAAATTAAACATCCAAATATTAAGACTCCGTTTGATAACCATTTGATTTTTTCTTTTTATATTCTTTGAAAACTATGTTTGTTTTCTCACCATTATAAATAATGGTTTTTAACTTTCCTTAAAAAAAAAAAGAAAAAAACATTTGAATTCATGACTAAATTTAAAAAACAAAAACTAGTTTTTTAGGCATTATTCAATAACATTTAATTTTTGAAAATTGAACTTATAAGCATTACTTTACTTAATTTTTGAAAATAAAGTATGGCAGCTTCTAATAGTCTAAACTTCTTGATCTTATGGTAGGTTGTCTGGGGAAAAAATTAGGCCCAAGGCTTTTGGGGAGAAGATTGGAACCAAAAGTAATCTTGAAACCTCTGCTCTGAAGGCTATTTCCAATGTCTATGTAGGTACTGTTAATGAACTTTCTACTAATACTTTGTTTGACTTTGGGTCAGGTTCCAGATGTCATGTATCAAATATTGGATAAGCCCATGAGCAAAGATGAACTTCAAGGAAGATTAGACAATATTCCTCAGACTTTAGAAGATTTTATGGCTGAGATCAAGGAAAGCAAACCAGATGCAAAAACTTTTGCTCTTAAACTCAGAGAAATGGTTATCATCGCTCATCTCTTAGTTTATTATTGTTTGTTATCCTTCAACCTCTTCAAACATACCCTTTACGTAAAAAAAACCCAATTATGTTAGCGTATGAGGATAATGAAGTCAAATACAATTCAGAAGTTCTTAATCCAATCACAAGGAGTTATGGGAATCATTTAAGGAATAAATCACCACTGCCACAATCATATTGTTTAAAATTCTTCAAAACATCTTAGCTAAGGTATTGATATTTTGCAGGTTTGATTATTATAAAGGTATTAATTTGGAGTTCATGTGTATCTTGCAGGTCAGCCTTATGGAACAAAGAACCAGAACCGCCAAAATTCAAGAATACTTGTACAGGCACGTAGCATCTAGCAGCATACCAAAGCAGCTCCATTGCCTTGCCCTCAGGCTTGCCAATGAGCACTCTACCAATGCAGCTGCTCGCCTTCAGCTTCCTTCAGCAGAACTCGTACCGTCCCTTGTTGACAATTCTTACTTTCACTTTGTCCTCGCCACTGACAATGTGCTTGCTGCATCTGTCGTCGCCAAATCCCTGGTCCGCAATGCTTTACGCCCACAGAAAATTATTCTCCATATAATCACAGATAGAAAGACTTACTTCCCTATGCAAGCATGGTTTTCCCTTCACTCTCTATCACCTGCAATTATTGAAGTTAAGGCATTGCATCATTTTGACTGGTTTACAAAGGGTAAAGTCCCAGTTTTGGAAGCAATGGAGAAAGACCAGAAGGTCCGGTCACAATTCAGAGGTGGGTCATCAGCCATTGTCGCAAATGAGACTGAAAAACCTAATATCATTGCATCAAAGTTGCAGGCACTGAGTCCAAAATATAATTCCGTGATGAATCACATTCGTATCCATTTACCAGAGGTAAACAAGTTCTTTCTACGAAACATAATTACTTGGGTTTTGCTGAGAGTAGATGTTCTTTTTGACTTTTTTTGTAAACTGCCAAGAAAGTATTTTGTTAAAACTTCTTAGAGACCTATCTGGATGTTTTACTATGTGAATGCTCATGGATGACAATTCTCTATGCAGTTGTTTCCAAGTCTCAAGAAGGTGGTGTTCTTGGACGACGACATTGTGATTCAAACTGATCTTTCCCCTTTGTGGGACATCGATATGAATGGGAAGGTTAATGGAGCAGTAGAAACATGTAGAGGAGACGATAAATTTGTAATGTCGAAGCGATTAAAGAGCTATCTGAATTTCTCACATCCTTTAATAGCAGAAAATTTTCATCCTAATGAATGTGCATGGGCTTATGGAATGAACATCTTTGATCTTGAGGCCTGGAGAAAGACCAACATAAGCCTCACATACCATCACTGGCTTGAACAGGTAAGGCTCAATTGATTTAACCTACACTTTCAAACATATTTTGGCTGAATGGAAACTGTTTGCTATGCAGAACGTGAAATCGGACCTAAGTTTATGGCAGCTTGGGACTTTGCCTCCTGGCCTTATAGCATTTCATGGTCACGTTCATATCATTGATCCATTTTGGCATATGCTGGGCCTAGGTTATCAAGAGAATACAAGCTTTGTTGATGCAGAGACTGCTGGAGTCATCCACTTCAATGGACGAGCGAAGCCATGGCTCGAGATAGCCTTTCCACATCTCCGGCCATTGTGGACAAAATATATCAACTTCTCTGATAAATTTATCAAGAGCTGCCATATAAGAGCTTCCTAGGTTGGGAAGAAATTTTCTTCGACTGATGATAAAGAATCACTTGTAAATGCAAAGAAGAGACATGAGAGAGTTCTTTGAAACAAGACATGAGATGAAAGCTGCCACTCTTACTGTCTTCTCCTGCTTGCTCTTCATCTTTTCCTCTATTCCCTTTCAATACTATTAACTTTTTGTTTCCTTATACACATAAAAACCATATATCAGTTCCAAATTTTGTAGATTTAGGCACTTTTGCTATGTTATAAAGATTGAAAGTCTACTGCTTTGCATTGCAAGCTGGGAATTACATCGGTGTCAACCAGTCTTAAAAAGGTACAGTTCTACTTAATATACTAATTCCTATACACACCGCCTTCCATTCTCCTCCCTCTCCAACAAGCATATGCACTCACGTCACAATTGAACTCTTGCGACAGCGGAACAACGATTGAGCGGTACTTATTCTAACCCAGTGAATAAGTAGCCGTGTGAAATTTGGTTTTCGCAGACAATACCGACATATGCTTGAATCTCATGTCACATTTAAGAAAAATGTTTTAGAAAATGTGAGCGGAGAAATACGTTGAAAACAATATTAATGAAAGCAATGTTATAAGCTAAAAGTGAGTAGGCAACAACGATGACTTTGATATGGTATATAATCCGAGTAGGAAGAATTGATAACTAGTCACATACTCCTATAGTACATTTTAGTCCTAGTGAGTGTGACATGATCTTGGTAACTGGTCATACACCCGTATTGACACAACAATAATAGTAAAGATCTATCTAACATGAAAGTAAGTACAAGAGGTTTGGAATGGGCATGCGCCCATGGATAACATATCTTGGACAAACATGACCAGAACATCCGACATGCAGCAACATGTCTTGGACAAGCATGACTGTGACATAGGGCGGGGACGGGGAAGCCTTCTACGTCCCTTGTCCCGTCACCTATTTGATTCCCCATCCCCGCGAAATTCCTCCTTTATTTTTGCGGGGATCAATACAAGGATTCCCCACGAAAAATTTGCAGGAATCGAGTTCCCTGCAGATAATTTTTTTCAGTTTATTATTATTATTTATTTTTTTTTAAATATAAATATAATTTTTTTCATTTTTTAATATAACCTTCCCTAAAAAAAATGGTAAAAGAATTATAATAAATCAACAAAGGTATATAATGTTTTACCAATATAATTTTTTTAAATTCAAAATTTAATATTACAAAATAGTCTTTAACATAAAAAAAAAAAAGTCTACAACATAGTCTTTACTTTAAATATTAAAATTAGAAAAAAAAAAGAAAAAAAAGAAAAAAGCATATACATCATGTAGGTAGAAAATATATTTATATTAAGTGGGACGGGGACATGGAATATAATCTCGTCCTCACGCCATTTATATAATAGGAAAAAATGTTCCCCTCCTTTTCCCATTTTTCATCTTAATATATAATAGGAAAAAAGGAAAAAATGTTCCCCCTCCTTTTCCCATTTTTCATCTTAATAGGTAATCCCCTCTCCGTTCGGGACGGGCCTCCACCCGAGTAAAATGGACATCTCTAATTATAACAAAGAGAAATGAGAACCATGGAACCACCAAATGACCTTAAGATTTAATACAACCGAAAAGGAGGGAAAAAAAAAAATCTGTCTTTTTTGTTGATAAGAAAATTGGTGAATGAAGTGGAAGCTAAAAATGAGAATATCTTTATGAAAAGAATGAGAGTATCTATATGAGTTGTTTTCAAATTCAAAACAACTTCAATTGATTTGATAAATCAAGATCATTGAACAGAATCTTTGTTTCATTCTGGAGTAAAGGTCTCCAAGACCATGAATGGCAAGCACACAAAATGTTTCTGTACTAAACAAGGGCAAGGAAGAACAAAGAAAGAAAGACAGAAGAAAAGGATATTCCCACGGACTGGCTGCAAATTCATATGTACAGTTCACTAGCCATCCAAGAAAAATCAGTCTCTAGCAGTATTGCAGGCAAAAACATCCCATTGTTAGCCTATTCTCATCAACATTCACATGCTGGTTTAACTTATTCACATTCTTACAGCTAAAACCCAGCATTGATTCCATAAAAAGTCTACAACTTGCAAATACAGTCGAGATATAGCCATCATATCATCATCCAGTTAAACAAGGATATGAAACAAGCGTCGAGTCGAGAATAATGGTAGAATCAGTACAAATGGGGTAGTCAGAATGTGCAATCTCAAACCGCCCCTCGTTTTCAGGTTGCCTAATTAAGCAACAGGAGGGCGGAGTACGTGATCTTGTGAGGTGTCGACCGCTGCAGGTGGCATGAACTGCCACATGGCAACTCCTGGGTAGCTGATGAAAGGAACCAACTTGTTTCCAGCTGCTTGGCCTTGAGCAGCAAAAGTGGGAGGGATGGCTGGAGGCAAGAAGCCAGGTTGTGAATTCATGTCTTTTAGTTGCTGCTCCAACTTCTCTTTCTCCATTTTTAACCTCTGCTTCTCATCACGAAGCTCATTCTTTTCAGCCTAAATAAGTGGGAACAGAGAAACTTGGAAGTCTTAAAGAGTATGCAGATCGACATCCTCACATCACAAATGTTGTAAGTAATATGTAACAATCTTCCAGATGGAATACTACAACGTAATGAAATAAATAGAGATTTTCTTGGTCAGATAATTGTAGAAGACTAACCTTCAACTCTTTAATCTTCTCTGATAGACTTGTATTTGAATCTTTCAACATCTTCGCTTCACCACGTAACTGAGCGACAATTCGAACAGCATCAATCAAAATGGCAGCCTTGTCGGTCTTAGGTGGTCTTCCGGGCTCCAAAATAGCTCCCAATTCCAGAAACCTGTCAAGTTTCATATGTATTCACTCCTAATAGAAATAAAACACACACATCTCGCTAATGTGCATTGTTGTGTGAAGAGCGAGCGAGAGAGAAAGGGGAGGAGCTTTTACTTGTCATTTAGTCTGTCCCTCCGCAGCTTCTCCCGACATGCTTTTGAGCTAGATGCGCAACTTGTTTCAGTTCTGACCCTGCAGCATTTTGTTTGTTTGTTTATTATTTACTCTCTTTATCCCTAACCTTTGGATGGAGGGATGAATGAGATGTTGAATAATTTGTTCAAGGAACAGACTGCTTCTATACGTATCGTTACGATCATCAATACAGATTCCATCGACTCTAAAGAGGAACTAGATTAAAAAGATAAATACAATCGCTATATGAAAAATCTCCCCTAAAAGAAGATTTTTAAGAGTTTATCAATTTGCAATAGCTCTTTCTCTACAAGGCTTTTAAGAATAGCAACAAGAAGGTGAGGGCTGGAAATGGCCTCTCCATCCCAGACCCTAAGGATATCTTAGTCCTCTCTTCTTCATCTTCTGATTTTAGGGCGACAAAACGCACACAGTTTCTTTGATCTTGAATCGGGTTCACAAGGAGAAAATTTTCCAAAACCTTATTTAATTAAAAAAAGCTTGCTGGTTTTCTGCAAATATATATGAAATATACAATTTTTGGCTTAAGAATATAGATTTATTTCTAATTATTTGTTAGTGAAACTAGTAATTTTATAAAAAATAATTAATATTTATATAGTTAATTATAAAATAGTGCAAATAATACCTGTAAAACTTCAGAGATTTGAGGTGTGTAAAACTTCAGAGATTTGAGTTGGGTGTGTTTGTCGAAGTTTAGATCAAGGTGAACGGTGCATTCTTCATCTGCACCTCTAAAATCAATTTAGTAAGAAAAGGTTATTCCCATATCCAACTCTAACGTCGAGGGAGTCTCCACCTCGTTAGAGTTGGGTTTCCATAGGAGCTTGCCTACAAGAACTTCACCACCCCTAAATGTTCACAAGGGATAATGGGGTAATGCATACTTCTAAATGTTACAGTCTGGAGCTTATCCACTCGTCACATTCAAGTTTTAATTTGTTAACAAGTCCGTTTCCCTTTTTTTCAATCACAATGTTATCTCTAATTTTGGAGGCTCAAGAATAGAAAAATGTCTGAGAAATAGGATTGCAACAAACCAGGGAACTGTAGAACCATCAAGAGCCAAGAGGCTGGTATTTACCTCTTCTTTGAACCAGGCTCCTTCAGGCCATCCGATTCGAACAATGATCCTTCAATTTCCGTGCTAGCAAAGGATGGAGCAAAAAGTTTGATGAGTAAATGCAAAATAATATCTCCCAACCATCCACCATCACCAAAAAGCAGAAATTTTCGAAATGGTAAAATTAAATAGACAGAGAATGTGAATATATAACAGAAGTGCCGAGGGGGAGGGGAGAGAGATTTTTTTTTTTTTTACTAAATGCAATAACATATCAAAGGGATGTATACAGTTAGAAGAAACTCAGACAGTAACCAAAAGATCAAGTCACTGTTCCGTATCGAAAGGCATGTGGTACCACCACAGGAAGAACTCTATAAGTGCACCAGCACTCTCTTTGTTAACATACAAGTAGTTTAGGTAGGATATTGTCTGCTTTGGCCCGTTACGTGTCGCTGTCAGCCTCACAGTTTTAAAACGAGTCTACTAGGGAGAGGTTTCCACATCCTTATGAAAAAATATTTCGTTCCCCTCTCCAACTAATGTGGGATCTCACAATCTACCCCCCTTGGGGCCCAGCATGCTCGCTGGCACATCACCCGGTGTTTGGCTCTGATATCATTTGTAACAGCCCGAGGTCACCGCTAGCAGGTATTATCCACTTTGGCACGTTACGTATCGCCATCAACCTCACAATTTCAAAACGCGTCTACTAGGGAGAGGTTTCCACACCCTTATAAGGAATGCTTCGTTCCCCTCTCCAACAAATATAGGGTCTTGCAGTTTAAATGTTGAAATAATATTAGAAACATTCATAATTCAAACAAACAAAAGTTATGTTCAAGTACAGGACTCAAAATCTTCCATCAATTCATAGACGTTAACTAAGCAATTTGGTAAACAAAAATGAAGCTTGAAAGACAGGTAAATGACAAGTTCCTCTCGAGGATAGTTAAATAAACCAGACCCTCTACTTTGATCAAATTATCTTTCCTCGAAGTATACATATAATATTTAAGAGACACCAGAGTGAAAGAAAGCAGTCAAAGACTCATGCCTGACATGAAGAAAGTACAGACCATTAAAAGTTCAAAATAAAGATCATATAAAGTTTCTCTTTATAAAGATAAATACATTTCAAAGTTCATTTCATTATAGCTTCACGTTAAGGGAATATTTACCGGTTAGTACTAAACTAAAAACAAATTCCGCAAGTCAATAGAACTTGCCAATTGCGTCCCTAGTTAATGGGGGAAGATGGTTTGGAACAATACTTGAAAGGGAAAATCTCTTAATATTTATTTAGTCAACAAGAGAAAATGACTCTGACCAAGCTCTGGTGAAAATGTGCTAAAATTCAATGAAACAAGTTATCCATACTGCAAATTTCGAACCCACCCATTTAAATTTCCAACCTACAAGCTTCAATCAAACACTTGAAGCTGTATAAATTAGTACTAAATTAAGAGAGAAAATGAAAGTTGCAGATGCAGATACAAATCGAAGTAGCAAGATCAAAGTCTTAAGCATAGCAACTGCTCACAGTCGAATCTTAGATCACAATTAGAAGTCCATAAGTGCATACTCGAGGGACTTTTCACACACACACACACACACACACACACACACACACACAAGAATCCGACAAAAGGGTCAGCAATCTATGAATTGTCAACGGCTAGAACAGGAAAATGGAACAAAATTGAATCCAGATGAGAGAGAAATAAAACCTGACATTGGAGGAGGCGTTGAGCGTTGGCATGGACCAGGAGAAGCCGGCAGTGGGGGCAGAGAAATTTGCATCGGCAACAGGAATATCATCCATTAACGCATAATCGAAGAGCCAATTGGTGGTTTCAGGGGATACCATGTCGATGGCGATTCAACAGGAAGGGCGATGTTTGGAGCTTCAGTTTCGTTGGAATTGAAGAAGTGAAGCTGAAATTTAACGGAGAGAGGAGAAAAAATGGAGAATCTGAATCGGATTTGGGGAATAAGGGAAAGAAGTGGTGGCGGGTAGCCGTGGGGAAGATAGATTCGTCACCCCTCCGTCACAGAGTTGAGTTGACGATATGTCGTTTTGGGCTTTTCCCTTGTAATGGGCCTTAATAATTATTTTAATAAAATTATTGGAAAGGGATCATTATGGTAATAATAATAATACTAAGGATGACATCACGCATTTGTTGCATTTGGAAAACAAAAATATAATAAATTAAACAAAGATTCTTTTTTGTTTTCAAAGTGAAAGATGATGCCAAAATTTTTTTGGTTAAATCGTTTCAATAATTTCGGTGAATTTTAAAATGTTATATTAAGACGTTCCACCTTTAAAAATAAAAATTAAAAAAAGACTCAACGACATGAGAAAATATGAACAATTAATTTAGAGAATGATCATAGGTTTATAATTAAGGAATACTATCTTTTCCTTTTCGGGGAAGCCCATATACTCAAAATGGACAATAATCATTTGATACGAGGTTAGAAATGTAATTATGAAATTGTATACTACACATTTAGAAAGTGTTTGTATTCTCATCCATAGAAGTTGGTCAGAAACATACATATATTTGAGATCCACAGAGCATATGTAAATTAAGTTTAAGTTAAACATGTTTTCCATTACAAATTTGGCCATGAACTTAAACATCTTGATCAGAATCCTTGCTCTTTGATTCAGCACCTCTATTCGATTCTAACTTGGGAATCTTGATCTCAAGAATCGTGTCATTCTTCATCTGAGCCTCTATTCTACAACAATCAACATCTTCAGGCAACTCGAGTCGCCGAACGAATCCGTGCTCCCACCAATTGGCACATCGCCAATCGACCAGCTTGGTGGCTTCTCTTTGTTGTTCCTTCAACTGACCACTTATCTCTAACACCTTCCCGTCTTCTACGGAGATTTGCAAAGCGTTTCTCCAAGGTTCTGTTTGTAAAATTTTGGTTTGTGTCAATCAAACATATCACCCAATCTTTTTTGAATGAGTAGCTACAGAGAGAGAGAGAGTTGGAAGGCCCTTTGGATTGTCTTTTAAAACGAAGTTGATAACATAATTTCACCATTAAAATCAATTCTCTCTTTTATCATCCTTTCAACTTCAACTCTCTGCAAAATAAATGTTTGAGAATGCTCTTAACCACCGTCAAATTTAAAACTCACTTTCAATTTTGTATTTAATATGTTTTCCTAAGTTTAAATTTTATATATAATACGATTCTAACTAATTAATTTTTGTCCAGTAGACTCTAAAGTCTAATTTATAATTGAAAGACCTATCACAAGAGTAAAAATTTTGGTAAAAATAAAAAAGGGGGGGTGATTAAGAGGCGAGGACAATAGCTGCCGCCGCAAGACACCATGGCAATGGTGTAGGCAGCACCCACCTACGAACCTCAAAGGCTATATTAGACAACTGGAAACTAAACCACGCGCAGTGCATCAACGTTTAAGATTTTTTGGGATCCACAGGGGTAAACGCCGGCAAAATCCCCTTAACAGTCAAACAGGTTTAGGGTTTAAATTAGCGCGTGTCGTTTCTGGCCCACACCCCAATGGACGTTGGACGGGATTACCAATTTAAAGTCTCCATCGTTTACAAATTCTTCGATGTGGGAGGTTCTGATTTGAAATAAATTTGATCTCTCACCATTTTTTTAATTTTATAATCAAAATTCATTTAATTTGGCACCTAATAATTAATATTTTGAAAAATCCATTAAACACTTCTAGTAAAAAAAAAAAAAAAAAAAAAAAAAA